CTTAGGAGAAATGGGGTTTTGTAAGTATCCCTGTGACAGGGAGTCATCCATCTGTCCCAAACCTTTTGATACATAAATACAAAGAAACTCAACAACAACAAAAGATATCAGGAGATGATGTATCAAAAAGCTCAGCAGTGTGGAAAACTTGGTGCAGACCCCTAAAAATACAAGTTTTATAATGGGGGAAGTACATAAAATTGTACCTTATAACCTTCATTTCTCTGAGGGTGAGATAGACAAGTCAATATTTGCAAGGTGAGCTACAACAAGATTTAATGCAAACTGTGAAAATGGATTGGGCTTTAAATTCACAATGTGTTTACTGTCTGATGTGAGAGACATTGCTGATGAGTTTTATTGTTCAAAAAAGCTAATAATCTACCCTGATCTTCTACATGGCATATACAGAGAGCTTAATCTGGATATTCTGGTAAAATTACAGAGGGATTGCAATCCCTCCCTGATCCATTATGAAGTGTTTTAAGACTTTAGTATATCCTGTGATAAGTATTCTGAGATCACACGCTTACCCTTCCAAAACTCTTTTCCCATTTTGAGCTTGAAGTTGGCTGTTGTTTCACTTTGTGGTTGGACTTGATGATCTTTAAGGTCTTTTCCAACCTGAGCAATTCTATGCTTGTAGGGTGGGAGGAATTATTAATTTAGTCTTCACCAATTTGTTGGGTTTGAAAGGGACCTGGGGAGATGGTTGTAATGGAAATTATTGTTCATCACTTTGTGTCGTCTCACTGAGCACCATGGAGAGGAGCCTCGCTTCATCTTCATTATTCCCTCCCTATCAGGTATTTATACACATGGATGAGGTCCCCTGGAGCTCTCTTCTAGAAATTATTGTAGATTTGGATGTCTTCAAGCCTGAGATGGGGTTCATCTCAGCAATATCATAAAAACTTCATTGTACTTGTAAAGGTTATGATGAAGTCACAGTGTCAATAATTATACCTCGGTTCCTTGTCAGACAAACTTGCTGGCATCATGTTGATGGCCATGTGCCAAATCTTGTTGAGTAACTTATTTTCCATATATTATCCATTTGCTAATAGGGCAGACATTTTTGACGTTGAAAAGGTTGACTCTATCAGACTACTTTACACTTTATTAATTGATTTAAATATTTGTTACAACTTTTTTTGACTGTCTCGTTAGTGGAAGGGATTTCATTTCTCAGTACTCAGAGCTGGTGGTGAAGTATGACTTTGAACTTTGATTGTTTGTACTGCCAGAAGTCATAATATTGACTTTGTTTCCAATGCAGTCATCAAATGTGGGGAATATGCAGTGCTGGTAAGTTGTCAGCAGGAATTAAGTTGAGCAGTGAATGAGTTGTGAACAAATTTTTAGAAGTCATTCAGTTAGTGAACTCATAATTTTGTGTTTTTGAGAAAATAAAAACAGCTTTTATTGTAATTTATTCAGATATCAGTAGTGAAAATGGCTGCCATTCAAAATTGAATTGTAAAAAAAAAAAAAGCACAAACAAGGTCAGCAGTTCTTCCTTGCTGTGCAGTGTGGTTTTGTTTGTTTTTCAATAATAATAAAGGCTCTTCTGACCTCACTTAAGTGTCTTCTATCTACATTCCAAAATCTCAGCTATTCTGCCAGATGATAGCAGGTTATCAAAATGATAATGCACATTATGATTTGGTAATAACTTACAGCATCTTGGCAGAATCACCTAATATCAGCAGGCCAGAATGGCTTTGCTCCACTCTCCTTAAGCATGGAATAAGTTGTTGTAGTACTGAGAAATAATGGTTTTTTTTTTTTTTTATTTATTGTAAAGTGTGTGAACTGGGAGATTGATAGCTTTTCATCTTGGAAGCCCAGAGGGAAAGATTACACACAGCTCTGCATACAAACAAGTTGACCATTGGGCTTGATGTGCCTCTGCTCCTTTATCATCACAGTACCCAATAAAACCAAGCAGAATAAAGTCAGAATAAAGTAGCTCATTTTTGCTGTATAATAGCCTCCTGCCTGTCTGGTTAATACCAAAAGGACTAAAGCTGATCTGTCTGTTTTGTGAGATTACAAACCTGGCTGGAATTGGAAAAGCTCAAGTAAGCATCCTTGTTTGGTCACTTTAGCTTTCTTTGCATCTTAAAATAACCAAGCAGATCTTGTAAAATAGTTGTTGAACTATCCTTAGGAGAAGTGCAGTTATGTTCTACAAAATTTTGGCCGAGGGCAAAGCTTTACAGTCACATCATAAACTCAAAACCAGGGGCTGGTTTTAATGATTAAGTTAATAGATCCATAACCAGAGCTATGGCATGTGTTTCTGTAACTTAAGAGCTATCGAATTTATTGCCTTTTTGTTACCTTGTAAAGAAAGCACTGGGGTTTTTGAAAGTTGAAAGTTGTAAAGAACCCAAAGATGATGAAATTTTTAAGGAAAAGTGCTTGTCTGACTTGCAGTAGGAGGTTGTTCTACCTTTAAATGCTTCTGTCGTGTGAAATGCTGTGTGTACTGACCATACCCTGCACCTGGGATGGTCAGTCCTGGATTCCAGATTTTCTCTTCAATGTGATGCATATGAAGAAATTCCCTCTGTCATAAGTATTTTTCTTATCCACTGAAATTATGCTAAGAGCACTTCTGTGTATAAAACTGATGTCTTTCATCACGTCTCTGTTGGCAGCTCCCAGGGGATGTAGACTGTCCATAATAAATCTGTGGTTAGATGCTCAGAATACTTGTTTCTGCTTTTCCTTGTAGCTTTTCTCCCTTTTTCTGCCAAAGAAAATCTGTTAAATTTGTCTGTTAAGTTGATGACGTGCTACGCATAAACATTAAAGCAGGTGTTCTTCTTGTTCCCTGTGGCCAAAAAAAAAAAAGAAATCCTCATGTTGCTTTGGTTTGCAGTGATTTTCTTCTACTGTTTGTTGTGGGTAAGCTTGACACGTAACACTCAGTGATTTTACTAGTGACTTTGGGGTAGTGTAGTGGGTTTTAAAGGAAGCAGAACTTAATAGCAGAAGGTTAAAAGTGGCCCAAGTTGAGCAGAAAACTGCAATTTAATTCTTAGTCATTACACTATTGAGAGCAGTTAGGACTTTGGCCAAGGGAGTTGTCCTTAGGCTGCTCCCCAGTCTCCTCTGTTGGAGTTTTACAGCCCAATTTTACGTTACAGGAGAGGAGCTTTGCAGAAGGTCATGATGTGTTGGTCTCAGTCTGCCAAAAGGAGGATTGTTAGACCTGCTTCAGCTTTTTTTATGAAAGGTTTTTATGAAAAAAGCTTGCAAGCTGCTTCTGTGAGGATAAAACAAAAGGTTTTGCCCAGCACTTTCTGGTCTGTATTTGTTAGTGTAGAATGGACAGAAGGAAGGATTTATAAATAAGCATAGGATTAGTTGAGAGCACTTCAGTTTCATCAGTCTGTTCCCAGAGCCAGCAATGAGCAGGTACAGGAATTTCCTCAAGTATGGGGAGTATTTGGGAGAAGTGTCTTCCACTTGTTGGCCTGTGCTTACCTTCCCCAAGGGCTTGCATCTGAGGCCTTTGTCTGACCCACTATTGCCAACTTGAAGTTTGTACAGCTCTGGATGGATGCGATTCCCCCATTAATTGAAAAGGTGCAGTCATACTATGCAGGTAGTCTGTTGGTTGTGCTGTAGCTCCCTACCCTGGAGGTGTTCAAGCCAGGTTGGATGGGCCCTGGATAGCCTGGTCTGGTATTAGGATATGCTCAGATATTCAACAGCAGTACAGTCTAAAGCAATTTCACTCTTCTTTTTCTGCCCATTTCCCAAGTCAGCTTTACTACTACAGAGTCATTCACTCTACCATGCCCAAAAGATCAAGCGTGTTGTTCTCTAGCATTGCCACATTTGATAAAGTGCCTCCCTGCTGTGTTCACTCTACAAGGAAGAGGCAGTGAAATTCTTAGTGCACTTGTGCAGCCCTGACAGCTCAGCTCATTGATCTTTGTTGTTTGCAGCCAACAGACTAGGATGATTCCTAAGGCTGTATCAAGCAAAGGAAAATGTATTGTTTTCTCTTTCTGTCTCTTGTTCAGTATTGATTTCTCAGAGACCATCTGCTCATTGTTGACAAATTCGCAGCAGTAGCCAGGAGGCAATTTTTTGCTTCTTTGAGATACAGGTTCATACTGTTGGCTGTGTCTTTTGCCACTAGATACAAAAATCACTTGGAAACAAAACAAAAAGTCAGTGGCATAGCAGTATGTAGAATAGTAGAATGACTTAGATTGGAAGGGACCTTAAACCCCACCCTGTTCCAATGCCCTGCCATGGACAGGGTTGCCACCTACCAGATCAGACTGCCCTGGGCCCCATCCGACCTGGCCTTGAAAGATTGACTGGGGCATCTTTGGCTTCTGTGGGCAGCCTGTGCCTCGTTGTTCTACCACAGTTGCTGGGAGGGCACTCAGTGGTGTTCTTCGTGGTGCCTCATTGAAGGATGAATTCAACTCTGCATGGTCTGAGTTTCACTGCATCCCAGAATAGCCGAAAATGACTGATTTTCTATGGTCCTAGAATTAAACTGGTGAGGCTGGTGTTGGTGTGCGTCGCCATCATATAGATTCAGATTTGTGTCTTGGGTGTCTGGGTTCCCCCAGTGCCAGTCTTTGGGTTTCTGCAAGGCCAACTTTGAGTGAGTGGTCCTGGCAGTGGGAGCTCCTGGTAAAACTGGAAGTCAGCATTTGCTCTTCAAAGGGGGATGGCTGGATTAAGATACAGAAAGTGAAGGAAGAAGTCTTGTATAAGATACCACTTCTGTTATTTCTGCTGTTCACGTTAGATTGATGTACTCTGAGGGGCTCACTGTTTTTTTTGATACGACTCTGGAAAGATTTTGTTTCAGTAAACTGTTTTAGTAGGGAACTCCAAATAAACAATTAAATGAGCCTTAAAAATTAGTCTTGCAGAATTTGCAATAAATGTTTTGTCTGAATCAGTATAAGAATTTGGGCATAATGAAAATTAATTTATTTTCTGTTTCCCTTTTCCAGAATATGACAGATACCTAGCATCTAGCAAAACCATGGCAGCAGCTTACCTTGATCCAAACTTGAATCATACACCAAGTTCAAGTGCAAAGACGCACCTCGGTACTGGGATGGAGCGTTCCCCGGGGGCCATGGAGCGAGTCCTAAAGGTCTTTCACTACTTTGAAACCAGCAGTGAGCCAACGACGTGGGCCAGCATTATCCGGCATGGAGATGCTACTGATGTTCGAGTAAGTCTGGTTTTAGCATTCTCCTGCCATCTTTAGGTTAAATTCCAACTTTACCCTCAAAAGGTGAAATCTGGAAGCCAAGAAACAGAAAATTCACTGTTTTGAAAGAATCTTTACCTGTTGTATGTTTTGAGTAATTTTTGGAAAAGGCGTTAGTGGTACCAACTTTCCTTTGGGGAGAGAGGGGAAGAGCTGTGGAAATTGATGTATGATAGCTTACTGCCTTAAAGAAATAGAACTATTCCCATTTTGCAGAACAGAAACTTGAAATTTCTAGAACTGGTTGTCAGTTTAAATACTACTACTGACTTACGTCATTCAACATTTACCACTTTGTATTCCCCTAAATTCTGTGTGGTGATGGGAGGAAATGTAGGAAAGGAGAGGTATTAAATGCCTTTTTTCTTGTTCTTTATTGAAAAAGGTAGGGAAGTCAACTCTTTGAAAGGGTAGATAACTGCAGGACAAGGGGAAATGGTCTGAAGTTGAAGGAGGGAAGATTTAGGTTGGATATCAGGGGGAAGTTCTTTGCTATGAGAGTGGTGAGGTGCTGGAACAGGCTGGCCAGAGAGGTTGTGGATGCCCAGAGTTGAACACCTTCCTGGAGGTGTTCAAGGCCAGATTGGATGGGGCCCTTGGTAGCCTGGTCTAGTATTAAATGTGGAGGTTGCTGGCCCTACCTGCACTGGAGGGATTGGAGCTTCCTGATCCTTGAGGTCCCTTCCAACCCAAGCCATTTTGTGATTCTATGAAAGTAAAAAAGGTAAACAGTTGTTTAAAATATTTAAGGATGTGTTGTTTTTTAATTCTTGTTTAGACAGTATTTCCTTCCATTGTGGGGGAATAAAACATTTTATGGCAAAGCCCTTTCTTCCCTCTGCTCTTCCCCTCCTCGCCACAGTAGTCACCTAGTTTTATTTGTACAGTGCAGTTTTTCAGCTAACTTAAGAGAAGATTAAGGATTGTTTTAATAATTACTTCAGGTGTATGTTACCTTTGATATATGTGTAAGTATACATACGCATGAAAATACTGTGTTTATTTTGGAGAGGGTTGAGCTGCTCTGTGTAGAATGTGCAGAATAGTAATCTGACAGTGAGACCTTTACTTAGCATTTGCTACACTTATTCACATTCTGAGGTCTTGTGGTTCTTAAATGATCTCTGTTTAGCATTTCAAGTACTGTTAAAGCGTAGTTTGCTTGTTTTCAGCTATTGTCCAAGAGCAGTCTTGCCTTGTGGTAGGTGGTTTATAGGATTGGCTTTGTTCTGCAAGGTTCTTGCTATGGAAGCGGGTTGCCACCTGCCCATTCCTTCCAGCATTTGCATTCTTTGTACAGTACTTTAAATTCCAGTAACGAATTTTGAATACTTGCTCTTCCTTTATTACTACTTTCTAGCACCTCTGTGTATAAAAGACCTCAGAGCATTCTTAGGTGGAGTAGGTCTTGCTGCAGTGAAATTCAGGGATTTTCCTTGGTGATGATCAGAAAATCTGCTTCTTGTCAATTTAATCAGCTCATATCTCTGTACAGGGATAACTTGGTGGGCTAGATAAATTAGAGGTACGCTGGTAGGAATCACTGTCATCAGTAACATACACTTATTTTACACGAAACAGGGTTTTTTGAGTGCTACATCATATCTTAATTGTCTGACTTAAGTATATTGATTTGATGTATCCAGTGTGATTGATTCATTTCATAAAGTGTATTATGGTGTGCAAGAGAGGAAAATTGTATCAATTTTTAACCTTACTTGCAAGTTTTGGCTGTGGATTTGAATATACAGTATTTGAAATCCAGGTTATCTTTCCAAAGCAATATGTAAAAAAAGAAACAGATTACATCTCTGGTTTCAAAAAAGATTCAAAAAATTCCAGCGGTCATGAGCTTTTAGAATGCAAAATTTACACTCCTTGTAAAAAAGAAATCCAGTGTTGAGTTGAATTTGAAGAGCCACATAATCCTATTTTAAGCAAGAACACGTCATATTTTTTTATTAGAAAGAATTAAAAGAACAGACAGCAGTTACCTAAGGCTTGCCTTCATATTTGATTTTCATGTATGTACACTTCTTTGTATGCTTATTTCTAAAGTAATTAATATCTTTGTATTGTTCTCCTTTCCTAAGAACAAGAACACTGGGCAAGCCATGAGTCACTGTTACCTCCCCTCATTTAACAAAGCAGCTGCCTTTTTATTTTGGCAGAGTGAGACAGTCACTGTAGATATGAGCAGGTACTCATAGCAGTGGCCCAGCACTGATGGATTACCATGTCCTGACTTTTATTTTAGAAACAGTGAATGGTTGTTGGAGTACAAGCCTCCATTCCATTGAAATGACTGCTGTTTGACCAAGTTAAGTAATTTAAGGTGAAAACAGCCTTGAAGGTTTTTATGCCTTTGCTTTTTCCTTCACCTCTTGCAATGGAGATTGACTGCAAAAGAGCTTCCATTTCTCCTGTGGGTTACAAACTGGAAGGAGGCTGATGCTGAGTTTGTCTCTTGGCTCATTTTGGTGAAGTCTTGGAAGCAGTCAGCAGTGAATGCCTTTGAGAAAACTGTGCAACTAAAAGGGAAAGAAAAGTTTTTTTTTCAAGATTTCTCTCTGATCAGCATGGCTTCTGGAATGATAGCCAAGGAACCCTTCCAGCCTTGAGAGGAAGGCAGGTTGGACTGGAATCTCCAGAGCAGCCAATTTCTGCAAGGTATTTCTGCTGATAAAGCAGAGGACTTTGTGTTATGTGCTAACACTGAAGGAAAGTAAGCGTGGAAGTTTCTTTCCTGATTTTTAGTGTTTCCCTAACATAATATCTTCTGTTTCAAGTCAAACTGTATTTGCTTTTGTCAGTGGAAAGGATGTGTTTGGTTAAAGAAGTGAGGAAAAACCCTCTTCCCTTTCAAAAAACAAACAAAAAATTGAGATCTTTTATGATTTATTAAGAGCTGGGTAGAAAACATCTTTGATCACTAAAGGGGAAAACCTTTATAATGAGAAGACTCATCGTTAAGCTGAGATGAACATAATTTAGCTTTCTATAAGAGTCTCAAAGTGCCCAGATTAAAGGTACAATTTCCTTGCTATTTCTCTTGAAATATCTTTAAACAAGACAGCAGTGTTTATATGTGGGCTTTGCTTTAAGGAGAACTTCATGACTGTGAACTGTTGTTTCTGGATGGATTTAGACCCTCAAAGGCAGCTGTTTCCTCTGAAGGATGAATCCATATTCTCCAATGGATTGAAGAGCAATTTTTCAATTCTTAGAAATGCTTTTTTGGATTTCAGAGAACTGACACGCTCTCTTTTATGCTCTTTTTCCTTTGGTGTTAAACTGAAGACATGCTTCATTTCCAAAAGAAAAAAGTTCTTTATGGCTGTTCAAACATTGGCCACCTACAGCAAGTGCTTGGCTATATTTGCTATGCAGAAAAGGAAAGGTTGTTCAACTTGTTATTTCTGTTAATATGTGTTTTCTATGTGCACATTCACAAAGTTGGATTTCCAGGGCATGCTCTGCCCTGTTCACAGCCCTAGCACTGGAATGCAGTGGGGTGGGTGCTGCTGAGATGGGATTTCTTTGGTCTCAAGTGCACCTGGAATGTAAACAGTGCCACTGAATTTCGAGCTGCAATTACAGGTAAATTGCCTTTCTGTTTTCAGAAGATGTGGTTGAAGCAGAGAAGTAAACGTGTTGTTGACATTTAGCAGATTGAGGGATGAGAGGAGTGGATTTTTATTAAACAAGCCTTTGAAAATCTTGCGTGAACTGGTGTAGACAGAAGGCGTTTTGCTCAAGTGCAGTTCTGCTTCATGCTCTGCATTTACACTCACAGGCATCTGGCTCACTTCTGGTGTATCTTTTCAACTTCTAGTCCTCCAATGCTATTCTAGAAAGCATGGGTGTGTGATTGGAAGAGTTCTGTGATTTCAGCCAGGTCCCTCACTGGAGTTTTTTAGGAAGGCTAAAGCACATTCTCTCAATACTTCACTAACGCAGGTTAAGTAAGCTGCATTACTGTGTTATTCATTGTTCCTTACTTTTTTTTCCTGTTTACCTCTCCCATTCAATCCAAACCCACCATTTTTACCATCCAAAACTATTTGCAGTTTCCATGTCTAAGTCTGTCCTATAGCGACTGTGTTTCATTCTTTTTGGCTAGCTGTTCTTGCAGTATTTCTCTTCCTGTCAGGTTTGTCTGAATGAAGCCCTTGAAGTTTTTCTGGTGTTTCTGCACTGTGGCTTCTTGGTGTGTTTTACCCAGCACTACATGACACCTGAGCGTTTGACAGTTCCTGATGGTGGAATGGAGTCTATTGCACAAGTCTACAACTCAGGTAGCTTCTTAGACATGCACTTCTGGCTGCTGTGCCAGCTTCCCTCTCACTGTTCTCTCAAGCTGCTGTCTCAGTTGTGCCAGCACAGGTATATGAATGGTTGGAAAGCTTGATTGAAGTCAGAATAGATCATTCTTTTAGTCGAGTTTCTAATCCAGATCAGTTTTGCAGTGTTGTTAGCTGCATCATCTTGCGGATGGACACAGCTAAGAAGACTGCAGGATGAAAGGAAATACCTGTTTATGCTGGCACTGCTCAGGTTTGCAGATTTACTGCACCACCAGGGAAAGAGCCTCATTTGTGAGGATTCCTCATCATCCACTGTAGCGTGCCTGGTCTCCAACCACACCTCAAAAGGATATTGCCTATCTTGAGTGATAGGGCAAAAAGAGAATTAGAGGCGTGTCAGCTTAGCTTCAGTCCCTGAGAAGACTCATTTGTAGCCATGGTTGTACCCATCCATCTTCATCTCGGTCCTGGGCATGCTGTACAACTGCTATAATTTATCTTTCTGTAAATGAGACTGCTAAGGTGTTACGTAGTAGACCTTTTCTACTAGTTTTTTCTTTTAAAATAGATTTTTCTGATAACAGTGTAGGGCTAGAAGATTAGCCACACAAAAAGTCTTTCGTGCTCACTAGGGAGAGCTTGTGAGCAGCGAGG